TGGCATCTGGCACACAGCCAGTGACCTCATTAAGTGTTGCATGACTAAACAAACAGGTCTTGGTGTCAGAAAAACATGCCTGATACCCTGTTCTAGGCTCAGAAATAAAAGAGAAACTTCAAGACTGTGTCTAGAGGGCAGCTGGTAGCCTGGTTTCCACTTGTGTGTCCACACCACTCCACTGCAGTTCTGGGTTGGGCAGGATTCTGAGGATTCCTCTGGGCTAGGATCGTGTCTGGTAGAGCTTAGGTGGTGCTAGTGCATTTACCGACCCTGTTCTGGAGTTTCGCACACACGGGGCTGTGGGCAAAGCACTCCATTTGGAGCCAGAAGACCTGCAGGGGACACCTGGCTTTGCAAATGACCAGTTAGATGACCTTGGGACAATCTCTGGAAGCCTGTTTCTTCCTCATACAATGGTGTCAAATACCAGTTCATGGGTATCTACCTGACAGTGTCATGGGTGAGATAACGTAAGCATGTGGGTGGGACTGCAAAGCCCTTTGACATAGTGGCCCTTATCCTAGCTCTGTTCATGGACATCTGAGTACCCGGCACACTTGGTGGTGGGCAGTGAGCTCTTTGAGGGCAGGCCTGGCTTTTCCTAGAGTGCTGTTAACAGAAAGAGGGTGCCTTTGGAGTCAGGCTGACCTGGATTTGAATGCTGCCTTCTCTCTGACTGGCTTCCATCTGACAATAGTTCCATCTGACAATAGTGACAATAATTCCTGCTTGTTTGGGGTTTGGGGATGCATTATTTCATTGAAGACTCCTAGGTTAGAGCGTGACATGTGGTCAGTTCTGCATAATGTCATTCTTTCAATCTAACAGAGATTCATTGAGCACTTCCTGTGTACCAGATACTTCCCTGGGCACCAGAGATAAAGCAGACAGTAACACTGATAAAGGCTCCGTGCTCACGGGGCTCACATCCTAGTTGAGGAAGACGTACAATAGACAAATAAGGAACATGTCGAGGGGTGTAAGTGCTGAGGTTGGGGAGCAGGATTAGGGAGGAGGAAATGCTGGGGATATGGCTGCCCTTCCCATCAGAGTGGTCAAGGAAGTCCTCTCTGAAGAAGCAGACTTTGAAGGAAGTAAGGCAGTGAGTTATCTGGGGAAGAACATTCTGGAAGAGGAAACAGCAAGTGCCAAGACCCTAAGGTGGGAGTGTGCTGGGCATATTTGAAGAACATCAAAGGGACCAGTTGGACTAAAACACTGGAAGCAAGGTGGGGGAGGGTAGCAAGAAGTGAGGTCAGAGAGCAAATAGGGGCCATGTCGGGGAGTGGTCATTGTAAGGACTGTGGCTTTCCCTCTGTGTGAGCCGAGGCCACTGAAGACCGTGAGAAGAAGAGTGTCACGATCTGACTTATATTGTAAAGGGATGGCTCTGGCCACGGGTCTCCCGGATCACAGGGGGAAAGGCAGAAGTAGGGAGATAGTTGGGGCCCATTAGAAAAACCCTGGAGAAGGATGATGGCCTGCATCAGAGCGATGGCAGAGGAGGTGGGGAGAGGTGGCTGGATTCTAGACACATTTTGAAGATAGAGCCAACTGGATTCGCTGATGGAATGCTGGTCGGATGAGAGACAGCAGAGTCCAAAATGACTTTTGGTTTGGAGCTTGAGCATGCAGAAGCATGAGCTGCTGTTCATTCAGTTCATGAGATGGTGAGGACAGCAAGAGAACGTGCTGGTTGCGGGTGGGGCGTAGGTGGAATCCGCAGTTGATTTTGGATGTGTTAAGAGTGAGAAGCTATGAGACATCTAAGTGAAGAGGTCAAACAGATCGTGGGCTAAACCAGTCTATAGAGTTCAAGGGCAAAGTCCAAGCAGGAGGTGTAAAGTCGGGCACATCTAGGGGATATCACATGTAATGGCAATGAAAGTGTGGAGCGGGCTTTCAATCCACCTGTTACTACATCCCTCTTCCTCTCAACTCTCCTCATCCGTCAGCGTCCAGATGGGCTCCCAGCAGGATGCAGGCTCGCAGGAACTACTCCCTGGCATACTAGGACGTGTTCACATGAGAGTGAGCGGAGGAGGGAAGTAAGAAAGCAACGGTCTAACCAAGGATAAACGTGCTGAGGGAGAGCTGCCCAGGGCTGAGTTTGGATAACAGCTGTGGAACAGGGCTGGGTGCTGCTTCACCAAGCCCTTCCAGCAGTTTCCCTACTCTGGTGCCCAGGCTTGAGGGCACATTTTCCCAGGCACGTCCTGGTGTGGGCTGTGAGCTGCTGTCAGCAGACACCATCTTTCTTTGCGAGTAGACCAAGGAAACATCTCCTTGAAAACCTCAGAGGGAAATTCAACGAGAGGGATGAAGATGCATTGTTGAGGAGGGATCCGGTCCTTGGGACCCAGGCTCTTGGCTGGAGGGGCTCAGAAATTCAGGACAGAGTTGGGAAACTCCCAAACACGTGGCTGGGAGAGGATCAGGACAGACCAAGGTGGCCGCATGACCAGGCAACCCTCTTACAATGGACTGGCATAATCAGAAATTATAAACTCAGGCTGCCATCTGGTCAACCACAGTCCCGGATCCACCAATGGGAGCCCCCCTTCCCCAGCCCCATGGGTGGCTTTTCCACTGCTAGTGGGAGGGGAATGGGAACCAGCTGCTAGGACCTGCCCCCTCCCACCTGTCCAGGATGCTCCCCAGGCTCCTGGGAGAATAAAAGTATTTCTTCCTCTCTCTAAAGTCAGAGATGGCTGGGATAAATTTTCAGCACATGGTCCAAAGAATCTGAACTGTGAGGCTATAGTCTCTTCTACACCAAGATTCTCACATCTCCCGCACAGGCTATGCTAAATGAGATGTTGCGTGGAAAAGGGTCCAGGGCCGACGGCCATTTCTTCCCATGATGCCCATGCTCCAGGGCATTGTCTCCGGCGTGGGGCATGTAGAGGCTGCAGTGCAAATATAAGAACATTCGTTTCTTTCTCGCACTTTAAATTTTCTTTTGATTTTATGAACCTTTTGTAACAATTCAGTATATTGGTACAGGAGTACACACACATATAATTTATACTTAAATGGCTGTGCTTATGATCTTTGAATTGACAAGGGGCTTGATCACAATAATCTGAAGGCCCACTGTTTTAGAGAAGAAAGCCCAGGGCTGGTCGTGGAGCGTGGCATCTTTTCAGTACTGCCTGAGTGTGAGTCAGGGTCAACAATCAAGTTGCAGCCTTGTGTGGGAAGGGCTGTGTTACAGATAGTGCTCGGCAGAAAAACGTAGAGATGGGTCAGGGGCAAAAGGTCTTCCTCCATAGCTGTGAGTCAACTGGCCGGAAGCTGATAGTGACTAAGGTCTACTCTACCACCCCCCAACACACACACACAGACACACACACATGCTCACAGATCACAACACTCTCTCTCTACATATACATATAGAAAGACGCACAAATATATACACATATAGGTTATATATAACACGCAAATATGCGTAGGTAGTAATATTAGTAATATCAAATCCATGATATTCTTTTTCACATTGCCACACCTCCCGACACAGCCAACATGAATTCCTTGTTATGTATCCTCCCACCCCATTATCCTTTCACAGAGAAACAAAGAAAATGATACACATTTACGTATTTACAGATATACGCAGGTTGGTTGTTTTTAAAAATATGAATGCTACCTTAATTTCACTTTCCTCTCCTTTCTCATTTTTTGTTTTCCATTTAACAACATATCACAGGCATTTCTTAAGCCAGTAGACATGTATCTAATTCCTTCTTTTCATCATCTGCATAACATTTAATGGTTTGGGTGTATGTATCTTAATTGAGTCAACCATCCCCCTGTTAATGGACATTTGAGTTGCTTCCAACGTTTTCCACAATAACTGATGCTGTGATAAATACTGTTGTATACATACCACGTCAAGGCGGTGCTTTTAGTGCTGTAAGATAGATTTCCCTAGGTGAGAGATATTACCCCAGGGAACAGGATAATCCAAGGGAATGCAGCGTCCCGTCAGGTTGCGTGAATGATTTTTTTTTAAATTCCAGTTATGCTGCCTTATATTCAATAGAGCAAGACAGAGGCCTGTGTTGAGTGTGTGTGTGTCCTCTCGCTGTGTTTCATGCGCTGGGGCCACCATCCCAGGTTTGACAATCTAAAGGGCCTGTCAAGAGCAGCTTAACAAGGAGAGGAGGGCAGGCCAGAGGACAGAGCCCCTTCCAGGGTGAGCCGTATCCTTGCAGGGGCGATGGCCTCTGGTCAGAGCAGGAATGTGTGTTCAGGCAGATAAAAGACCTCACAACTTCCTCCCACTTTGCTGTGTCTCCAAAAAGCCACAGGAACCTGCTTTTCCAGGTGTGTGGTATACACTTTCCTGGGTAAGAAATCCAGCTGGAAGGCTGGGGTTTGGGTTTTCCTGCCAGGACTGTGAGACGGTGCCCCTTCATCTACCTGCCTCTCCTTCTCCCCATCCTCAGTGGGACAAGCACCCTTCATGGTGCAGGGGTATCCACGCCCTGGAACCCTGAACTTACAGAGCTCCCCGGTCAGCTTCTGCTCACTGTTTCCCACAGTGATTCATCCACAGATGTAATATGTGGATGTGGATGCATCTGTGTTGCTTACAACTCTGCAAGTGTCTTATTTCTGAACCCCATCCCCCATTACCACCTCCAAACTCCTTATAGAGCCTTTGCACATAGTAATTTTTCAATGATTCTTTTCTACATTGTTTTTTTTCCTTTTTCTCCCCAAAGCCCCCCAGTACATAGTTGTATATTTTTTGTTGTGGGTCCTTCTAGTTGTGGCATGTGGGATGCTGCCTCAGCGTGGTTTGATGAGCAGTGCCGTGTCCGCGCCCAGGATTCCAACCAACGAAACACTGGGCCGCCTGCAGCGGAGCGCTCGAACTTAACCACTCGGCCACGGGGCCAGCCCCTCAATGATTCTTTTCTAAACAAGCAAGTGAGTCGATGACTCTTGCACAGCCAATAGGGGACCTGTGGGGCCTCCGCACTGCCTACCTTCACGGCCTTTGCTCTGTTGATGAGCCCGTCGTCCTGAGAACTCCCGATGAGCAGATCGACCTTCGCCCGTGGAAACCTCTGCAGTGCCCTGGCTGGAGCCTCTCGGAGGTACTGGCCATCGACCACAGGTCCCCAGTAGTGGAACGGGCCGCTCACGGCCAGGAGCTGCATTGGGTGCAAAGGGAGGCCATTCTGTGTATGGATTTTATCTTTCTGTCTTTTCATGGTTCTAGAATAATCAGTTGCATTACATTACTTAACAAGGTGTTCACCATAATGAACACTGATGCTGTTTATCCATCTGGGGCTCTAATGGGAAATCAGAGTAAAATGACTGGAATGAGCAGGCAGGACACCAGGCGGTAGCGCCAGGGGCTGGAAGGCGAGTCTCGCTCTGAGCAAGGGAGCTTCCCAGAGCCTCTGTCGAGGTGACACGGAGGAATGGGTGAGCCCGAGCCTGTAGGTGTGTGAATAAGGCAGGAGGAGACACTGATCAAGGAGGGGCTGATGGCCAAAGGCAGGATCCGGCAGGGAAATTCACCAGCTTTAGCCGCTACCCAATTAGCCCACATCTGGCGTCTCTGAGGATCAGACCCACTCCAGGTCTGCGAGTCCAGGCTCACTGCTGAAGGGATCTGGCCATTGGTTCAGAGCACAACAGTTCTTTCTGCTAGTGTCCCCTTCATTAATGTCAGGGCCAGCCAGAGACTGTGGGCTATGAGCAGGCTCTTTGCAGGCTGGAAAAGGGAGCACACAGCCGTCCTATCTAAGCGTGCATGGTGGCCCAAATCCATTGCAGTCACGACCATAATGCTCAATACGTGTGGCTGTGACCTGACAGAGTGCCACCACAGTCCTGGCACAGGCAAGACCTTTCCAAGTGTCACTTCACTTTATCCTGCTCCTCTGTAAGGCCCATGCCATTAGTCTCATTTTAGAGATAAAGGCTGATGTGCCCAGAGATCTGTCAACCTTCAGTGTCCATGCTTGGTCCTTCACATACTGGGCCCAAGCACGGCGCTGGCAGTCTGGGAGTGTGCCCTCCAACTCTAGCTGGCCATCAACCTAAGTGTGGCCTGGGGCAGGTCCTGTCTCCTTTTCAGGCCTGGTTTTCCATTTGTAATAGATCAGAGAACGTCCCTCCCCAACTCGCACATGAGTGCCCACCTTGGTCTGGGCGTCATTGAGGACGTTGGCGGGCTCCTGGCGGAGGCAGGATATCATTTCTTGGATGGACGAGGTGGGGCAGCCGACCTCCTTTGCGAAAGCAGCTGCCTGCTGCTGAGCCCTCTCCTGGCTGATGACCGCGGCAGGGGAGAGCGCGGAGCCGCCCTGGAAGAGAAAGCAGACTTAGGGCCGATGGTCTACATCGTCTCCTTCCCGGGCTCAGCCCCGAGATGTCAAGGCCACATCAGGGCTCTGCATCCTTCATCCAAGCTTGCGAGTCCCAGGACCCTTCCTGGGGAAGCTCACAGGCATTTGGGAGGTCAGGACTGATCAATGTCACATCAACATGCTGGGTGACCTTGAACGAGTGTCTCCCTAGGCCTCGGCTTCCTCACCTGTGTCCAGAGGGCACTGGATGGAGTCAGCATCAGTCTTGGCTATGAACTGAAGTTGTATATTGAGGCAAAGGGCTGATGGTGGTTGAACGGGAACAAGGATCAGAGCTGTCCTCTGAGAAGAGAAGTCTGCAAAAGGTGGTACCACATCCACCCCACCCTACCCCACCCCACGCCTCCTGGGGGCTCCTTAAATAGCAAGCTTCCCTGGCCAATTAAGATAAAGTTGGATTTTAAAATAGATGCTCACCTAGGAGGTGTTGGAAATGCAGCCATTGTGAAAGTACCTTGTTCCAGCAGAGTCAAAGTAAGGCTCTATGAAAATGTTGGGTTGCTGGGAGCATTTCCTCCCTAAGAATGCAGGTGATGGGAACTGGGTTCCGGGGGGTCTCTTCCTGGCCATGGAGGGTTGGTGGAATTGGGTCATCTGCCCAGGTGGGAGAGGTGAGCTGAGCTGAGCGGGGTCTTAGGTAGAATCTGGGGCCCTTGTCTGGAGTCACCCCCACCCCCAGCTCAGACTCTGGCTACCTGGTACGGAATCACGGGGGACACAGGGTGGGACAGGGGTCCTCCTAGCGCCATCACTATCTCTAGTGCTCTTGCCACTCAGAGAAACGACACAGCGACCGTGGGCTGGGGACTTGGCTGGTTAACTCAGAGTTTCCCCCATTTGACCTCACTTGATCCTCATAACAGCTGTGCATGTTAGCTGCCGTTCTTGTCCCCATCTTACACATGGGAAAATAACGAAATAGGGAAATAAAGTCACTTGACCAAGGGCAAATGTCTGGTAAGGGGCGGAGCCAGCCTGCGGACTCAGACAGCTGGGCTCTGGAGTCCCTCTTGCTCCAGACCCGGGGGCAGAGTGGGAGGTTCTGGTCCCGTGGCAACCTCTGTAGCAAGGGGCCGCCGGGCAGAGAGGAGGGCTGACTGCCCACAGGCTTCCACCCGCCAGGTGCTCACCCGCCAGGAACCTTGTCTGCTTTGTCTCACGTAACCTCCAAAATGACGAGATGAGGTAGATACGCCTCTGCCCCATTTTGCAGACAAATGAACTAAGGCTCCAGAAGGAAAGGGAAAACTCTCATTTATCAAGTATCTAATGTGTACCGGGAACCAGGAGCTTGGCCACGCCAAACAACACTACTGATAGTTAATTTATTGAGTATTTGCTAAGTTTCGGGCACAGCTGTAAGTACTTCACATACATTAACTCATTAAACCCTCTCCACAACCCTGAGAGGTAAGTGTTATTTACCCCCTTATCTTAGAGAGGAGGAAACTAAGGCACAGGACGGTTCAGCATCTTGCCTAGTCTCACACTGCTGGGGAGTGGCCGAGCCAGGACTCCAGTCCAAGCAGCCCACTCTGGGCCATGCGCTCAACCCCCAACTGACACTATGTGCGTTGTTAAAACCAGAACAACATGGCGCGTCGTGAGCTGAACTGTGCTGTCTTACTCCAACATGAAGAGACCAAGGATCTGGCTGACTCCACGGAATACGTTTGCATTCTACACTCTACCCTGAGCTAAAAATGCAGAAAAGGCAGAGCTCAGTTTCCTCATGCAGGAAATGGGTATATCAGAGGATGCTGCTCTCACTGGGTCTTTGAGAGGATGGTTGAAGTAAGGCAGAGGAGAGCATTCTGGAACTGTAAAGTGAGGTGCCTGTGCTCACCTGAGCCATTGGTGCTGTTACCCACTGGGTAAGAGACAACAGAGAGATGCCCAGAGGCGAGGAGACCCATCCTCCTGAGGGCCCAGCTGGACAGATTTCCTAGAGTAAGGGAGCACACTCCAGCCCTGCCCCTGGAAGGTTCCCAGGGGTCTTTGTGCCTCTGAGTCAGGACTGAAGGGTCCTGGACAAACACAGGTTTTGCCATGAGAAGGGGCCGTCCTGCAGGCCAGACTGAGAGCCGAGGGCAGCTCTGGTGGAGGAGAGACCCAAAGGGCCGGGAGAGGGCCCAGGGCCCAGGCCTGGTCCTGTCCACAGGAGGGTCAAAGCTCCACATCTCAGACGCTAAATGCAGTCAGAGGCAGCCCCCAGACCTGGCTTCCACCTCCACACGATGACCCACATGTTACCCAACACCTTTTCCTCCTGGGTAACGTGGACACAGTGGTATCAACTCCACGTGGTTCCTTAGGAGGTGAGATGCCTAACAACATGAGAGCTAATCTTGATAGAGTGTTCTCCACGCGCCAGGCACGATGGAGGGTTTTCTGTGTGGTCTCAGCATTTTACAGATATCAGTTTAAGCCTCACAAGCATTCCACGAGGCAGATGATATTATGATCCCATTTTATAGATGAGGGGGTTAAGGCACACAGAGGTGAATGACTTGCTTAAGATCACAGAGCCAGTCAGAGGCAGAACTGGGATCTGAATGCAGGTCCCTAGGAAGGCATTCTGCATGTTCACCTGACGGGTTCTTGATGAAAGGTGGCGACACTGTTATCACTATTTAGTTGTCAGGACCATGTGGGGACCTGTGGCCAGAGTCAGAGGTGAGGCCGGACAGTCGGAAGCTAAGCCGAGGGAGAGGAAAGCATGGAGGGTGTGGATGCTGAGAGCCGCCCTGTGTCCTGGTGCCCGGGAGCCCTTCCCGAGAGCTCCGAGCTGCTCACAGCAGGGCTGGCTGCCTAGTCTACAGACTCAGGACAGGGACGGGCAGGTACATTGGTTTTCTGTCCTCAACCCACTTAGATAAGCTCAGAATCTCCCGCAATCAGCTGGGTTGGCTGCAAAACGCACAAAGCAATGAAATTAAAATAGCCAGCCTGCCCCAGGCCAGGGATGCAGCGAGGCTGACAACGGACAGGGTCAAGATGATTTAGCCCTAGGGTGGGGTCCCTGTGCCCACGGGTTTATCTTTCCAACCATGAGGGGGCCAGTTTCCTGAGAACCACTGGATGTGCTTGTCTTAAGAGAAAACACACACACACACACACACACACACACCTGCTAAAGGTATTTGAGGTCAAAGCCCCATGTTCTCAATCGTAAACTGAGCAGACAAACTGCAGGATGCTGAGGTGGGGCCGCTGAGCTGCCTCTGCCCGCAGGTGGGCCGTGAGGACATGTGGATTTCAGGATGGGGCCCTCTAATGTTTTCAACATCATCTTCGGCTATAAAAAGCCAGAGCTCCTGATATGGCGAGGAAGTGGTTAAAGGCGTGGGTTACGCTGAGATAGCAAGATGGCTCAGAGAACTTTCCTCTCTCTCAGTGTTTTGTTTTAATCGATCTTTCTGAAGGAAACCTCTTTCTTTATGGAAAATCAGTGGTTGAACAAGACAACGGCCGGTTCAGTCCTCACTTTAAAGCACTTGGTCAGAGACTAAGAACTGGGGGACTGGAGGAGGGGGGGATGCTGTGCAGAGTCATGCAAGGGGCTGGGGCTTTGTGGGCAGAACCATGTACACTGCCCATCCCTGTCTTGAATCTGTAGACCAGGCTGCCAGTCCTGTCTGAACCTGGCAGAAGGACTGGGTTCAAACTCCAGCTGATGTTACTTGCTAACGAGGTGACCTTGGCAAATCATTGACACCAGGGGCCTCGATTTCCTCATCTGTGAATGGGCATGAAAAACCATACTTCACAGGTCATCATAAAGATGCCCAGGAGAAGATGGCAGCTGTCCCCTGCACAGGGCGTGGTGTAGTTCGTGTTGCTGTTAGCCTGGTGGAGGCTCACAGGCCCCCTGCAGGGCTTGGAGGCAGCAGAGTGTCTTCAGGCTGCCCTGTCACGCCTGCAGTCCCTCAGCCCGGATCCGTGCTTTATCTAAGTCTGACCTAGCTATTCAATGGCTATGAGTTTCCGCTGGTTGTTTTTAACTTTAAAAATAGTGCAGGGCAAAACCACAATTGCTTACCACTGCCTTTTCTCCCTGGAGCCTCTGAACTTTGTAAGGTGACTTGACCTCGGTCAGCCACTACGGTCACCTCGGAGCCAGGACCTGCCCCTGTCCAAGAACACGTATAGACACACACAGTCACAGACAGAAGGACACTCACAATACAGTCACACACAGATGCACTCACACCCACGTACTCACACAGAAACATACATGCCAAGACATACAATACAGCCACACATACTCAGAAATACACGCAGACACACACACACAAACATACATTCACACAAAGACACACACACACACACACAGACTCACACAGACACACACCCTCAGAAAAACACATAGACAGAAACACACTCACACAGGGACACAGACAGAAAGACACACCCACCCACACAGATATACAACAATACACACACATACACACTAGACTATTTCTTCTTGAAATAGACACCACTTACAGGCCTTCCACGAAGTCACCGACCAGAAAAGCAACAAGGAGGGGCTAGTTTCTGTGACAAACATGGCTGTCCCAGGAGGCCCAGTGGCCCTTTCTTAGAGGGGTCAGTGAGTCCGAGGAGGTGGCTCTGGGTGGAAAGGGAGCCCTCCAGGAGGTGCCTGCTCTGTCTCTTCTCCTTCCTAGCACCCCTCACACTCCTCTGCCCCTCCCTCTCCCAGGGATTCCTCAACTGTGGGGAGGACGGGGTCAATGAGTTACCTCCTGGAGAAACAGGGGATGGTGGGACGCTCGGTGCCTGCCCAGGGCACTGCCTGGGAATCAAGGAGCTAATTCATGCAGAGCCCTTGCAACAGGGCCCTGCATAGACATAACTGACGTAATAGATGTAATAATGATGGCAATAACTGATATTTAAGTAGCACTCTAGGAGGGCTGTGCTCGTAAAAGCTC